AAACCCCATAGCGAATGCTTGAAAAGGCATCGTCGAAGTCATAATGTGACAGGCATTCTTAGAATAACTTATCAATTAACTGTAGTTTACTTACCGTGTGTCCATATTTTCTCGTTTTAATTTCAATTACTAATTTCAGCAAACAGTGGAGCAATGGCGGATAGCATTCTGGGCAGTATTCGCGGTGTTAGTCGGCACAAACGTCGTCTACGTAATTTGGGGATCAGGAGAACAGCAATGGTGGGACGATGTTTCGAAATATGGCTACCCACCAGGTTGGAAACATGGCACGTTTAAGAAAAGACAAACAGACACGGAGAAGAAAATCGTACACCCGAAACATGATCATTCGCCAATCGCTAAAGATTGATATAAATAACTGTACAAATGTAAATAAAACTATTTATTTTAAATATAATACCATTATAAGATATCTGCTTAATTATTTTAGTCATTGTTATCTGGACCACACAGAAAACAGGCGTGAAGTGGAGGCAATTCCGCGTTTCGTCTGATAAGTGTAATGCCGGAGGCATAATTTCAGTACCTTGCCCTTTCCACCCTTTTCTTAAGAGGAAAAGATTGACAGTGGAGAAGACGCATATAGGGGAAATTTCTTGTTTATATGCGTCTCCTCCACCGTCAATAAAGGGTAGGCAACGCATCTGCAATTGCGGATGTTTATGGGCAGCAGTCTTTCCATTTCGTTGGATTCAGGTGGCCGCTTGTTCGTTAGCCACCTTATATTATAGAATAAAACATCAATGTTTTGTTCCGGACAAATGACAGATTATAACACAAATAGGGTATTGCTAGACAAGGAACGAGTAAGAAAGTTGGTTGAAGGAGACTTTTGTGGAAGAGACTAAAGTCTTACACAAACTTTAATTAGTAGTTATAAGAAAAACTTATACTTCATTTGATATTTGAATACAATAGCATGCAAATGTTACCTTCAGTTACTGCATGTTATAATATGAAAGGATAAGTGTACATTATTACTGAAATCAAAATTTAACACTATTATGTGATGGTATGAATCACACCCCACTTATTTCATTTTCTATGGAGTATTAGGTAAACGTGTGAATTTCTCTAAAGACAAAGCATGATTGTATGCATTATATTTTGTGAATAGCATTGCTTGCATTCTTTAGAATGACCTTCTAATATTAGTCATATTTTATTCTATTTATCCGTGTTTTGAGATAGTCATTTTAATTCGAATAAACCTTAATCCATTCAAGTTACAATTGCCCTTACTTCATGGTCATCATCGTCAACTTGTCCTTGTCCCTACGGAATGTCGGCACAGTATATGCTGCTCTACTATACATGTCTATCAGCCGTCATATCTCAATTTACTCATTTCTTAGACATATTATCCTCTTTCATACAATCCATCTTTACTTTCTTCAATCTTCATCTATCTTTTTAATTAACTACTTTCAATCTTAACACTGTCTAGTTTATGTCCCCATCATCTTGCTCTTACTTCATGGTGATAATGGTAATTTGATTCAGCAGAATATTTTTTAATTGACATACACTCAAATCATCCTTTATGCTGATAAAATTGCGACGTTAGAATTATATATTACTAGCTTACGCCCGCGACTCCGTCCGCGTGAATTAAAAAAAAAACAAAAGTGAGTAGCCTATGTGTTCTTCTAGACAATCCTCTACATTTGTACCAAATTCCATCGAAATCTATTCAGCCGTTTAGGCTACAAACTCTAACAAACATCCAGTCATCCATCTAAACTTTCGCATTTATAACTATAGCTATGATGGTACTGTTAATAATATTAACTACTAGAATATGGTATAAAGGTTCTCTTTTGTAGAAGAAAGACTTGATATATTTATTCAATAAGGGAATATACTGGAAATAAACGAAATAATAAGCAGTTAAGATAACAAACGGCGCATGTAATGTGTAGCAAATGATGTTTCTCGCTCTTTGTGATATTTCGAACGTCGTATCTAATGTTGTCGCTGTGGAAAATTATTAAGAAAACAACTTAATTATATTTCAATTTATTCTGCGTTACAAATAGACCGTAGATTGTAGACGTTAGAAAACCAAATGTTAATCGAAAAGATTATTTTACATATACCTAAGTACTAGAAGACAAATATTCTTTACCTCATTTAAAAGCATAAAAGATGCTACAAAGTTATTTGATTTTACATATATAATGTCATCTGCTAAAGAATTGAAAAAGGTTTATCTTGTTGATTTTTTTAAAACATGAGTTGGCAAACGAGCTAGCGGCTACCTAAATCAACCAAAATGGTGAAGCGACCGCTGCCCATAGACATTCGCAATACCGGATGCGTTGCCTACCCTTAAGGAGGAGACGCACATAAAGAGGATATTTCCTCTTCCTATGTGTATCCTCCAGCGTCAAATCCACGTTCCCTTCCCATCCCATTCTTATGAGAAAAAGGGTGCGAAGGAAAAAGGACAAAAGTTGGGCCTCCGGCACCACGCTCATCAGACGAAACGCGTAATTGCTCCCACTTCACGCCTGTCTTCTGTGTGGTCGTGGTATTACACCGGGCGAGCGGACCCATTCGTGCGAAGATGTTAAAGCGGGCTCTACCACTGTTAAATAAACAGTCTTCAAACCATACAAATTACCATCCAAGGGTTTGATCCTAGGTATCTTTATTTAAGGCGACTACGGGTTAGTCAACCACGTTGGCAAAGTGCGGTTTAAAAACACGTATGTTTTCCTTGACTATAACATAAAATTGAAATTAAATCATATATTACATCTTTTTTTATATACAATAAGGTAGCAAATCAGCACCTAGATCCTATCTAGTGCAGACGCATTGCCTGTCCTAAATCGACGGAGGAGGAATCGCACATAAAGAGGATATTTTCCCTTTCTAAGCGCATCCTCCATCATTAAATCCACTTTCCCACTCAATCTTTCTTTATAAGAAAAGGGTGGAACGAGAAAGGGACTAAAATTGGGCCTCCGGCACCACACTTATCAGACGAAAGGCGGAATTGCTGTCCCGGCCCTTTCGTGCGAAGATGTTAAAGCGGGCTTTACCACTGTTACAATCAGGGATCGAACCGGAAGCTACAGATTAAAGTCCGGTATTTAACGACGGAGCCACTGATTCTCATTAATGACCTAATCAACACAAATACCAGTCATAACAAACTTTAATGATAAAACACATTAGGCTATTAGCAGACTATCTTTTCATACATATAGTAAACAAATAATCGATTTAAATGATGTTAAGTGAAAATCATGGCGCGTAGTAAAATAATTGCATATATCGTTTATGTCGAAAAATAATCTATACATATAATAAAATTGGAGTGTCTGTTTGTAAAGAAATTCCAGATTTCTGGAAGATGATTTATTTGCGTTGCTGTTAGCGAAAATCGTATTTATTTATTTTTTCTGTCTTTCTGCCCGCAAGCGTTTGTTCCGGGTAATCCCTGAAACGGCCGACACGATTACGACGGCACTTTCGCTGGAGGTAAGCTGACATAGATAGGTATACTATAGGCTACTTTTTTTTAAATTCCGCACTGTCAAAATGACGTAACGGGTGGTCTCTGGTCAGGACTTTGACTGAAAGATAGCTGGTTGAAAGTAGATGCAGGAATATGATAGATGATTTTTTTTAAAATCCGTGCTAACGAAGATTGCGGGCGACAACTCGTTATAAAAGTTATTAGTTTGAAAATTACTTAGCTATTTCATTTGCAGTCAGCCTAAACACACAAGGTACTTAACTGTAATTAGCAGTAAATTAAATGCAGCAATTAATCAAAGAAGTTAATTAATCTTTTCAATCTTAACGAAACAGTCTTCAGCAAACCGCAGCAAGTTGCAGAGGTTTCGCAACAGTCAATTAACTTGATAAATCTATTCTTAAGTGCCTTACACACTCCAAGTGTTTACAAGAATCTTGATACTTCGAATAAAGTAATTGGAATCATTATTAACCTACTTTACTATCTCAACGCAATTTCTATGTATAAAGAGTGTAAACAAGTTAAGCTTTTATTTATGCTTAAAAAAAGTGAGTTTGTACGTGCAGATTTAATATTCAAACATTGTAATTTGAATCGAATGGCATGTTAATATGCATTTTAATCGCATTAACGCGTCTGCGATGACTTACGTCTGGGTATGATCGGTGGCTGCGCGCGCGCAACTCGGTAACTTGACCAGTCGAGTGGCGACCGTTCTAAAGACGCTTGTTTTACGCACGTTGTATTTGTGACATAAGTTGAATGGGAAATTGTTAGTGTGCAAAAAGTACAAACAAGAGTTACGGAAGCGGAGAATTGTAAGTATTTTTTAAGTTAAAGTTTGGAATAATGTTAATTATATCACTGTAATTACGGCAATGTTAAAAAATGCAATTACTTTTAAATAAATGAAAATTTTTAAATTCGATACATATATTTTTAATTATTCTAAAAATAGCTGGGCCCCACAGATTAGATTCGTATGAATATTGGTTTATAATGCATTATTACATTTCTAATATAAATTTATATGTTAAAATAAATACTACAATTAAAAGAATTATCTAAATTTCCGTCTGTTCATATGCGATGCAATAACAAAGGGAAATAGAGATTATTTTTACCTTATAGATGTATAGAAAATCGTGTTAAATAATAGCAGGTACAAATCATTCAACTTAATCTTAAACTTAATCTAAACAACATTTATTTTTACTATCTCGTAATAGAATTTGATACAACCATAAGTTTAGTATATTGGAACATTTTAATTCACACTTAGGTACCTTTTGTTAGTGTAACACATCTGTACATACAACATATTGATACACATTTGAACATAACACAAATGAAACCTATTTATTTACCATCAGATATATATGAAATGAAACAATTTTAATAATCAAGATAGCTTCATAAACAAACTGCTATCTGTAAAGAACATTTAAACTTCTCATATTCCTAATATCAGAAGCTTGAATGTTCTTAAATACAAATTGTATTAATTTGTTGTTTGGTAAAAAAACTCGATTATATAATAACATTTTATTTACAAATGATTAATAATTTATACATAAGTAAAACAGTAATATTTATTTAAATAAATATACGGGAACGGAGGCAATGTTAATAAACGCAACGCACTTATTGTAGTCTTTCGACTGATGGTAATGACTATATTATTATACTTCCTTCGACTGAACTATAAATATGAACGGAATGCGATGCAATCAAGATCTTTTCCGCTATTTTATGTAATCGAATCGATTTCACGGCGACTGTCGGTTCTCCACTGTTATAGTTTTAATAATGTCGTAACAGTATGTATCTTATAAGTAGAAATTATATTTCAAGGAAATAAAACATAACATACACGTATAATAACTGAGATTATGGACTTTAGATAAAACACCCCAGTCGTATGTTGTTATAAGTATTAGAAGAAATCCTGTAATTTATTTCAAGTGTTACTAAATACGTCAAACTTTTTACCATAATGTATTTCAAACGTCAAAACACTTGTACAAAAATATATTGACGTCCCTTTCATTACCCTCGAAAAAAACTGAATAGCAACATCAAAAATTCTCTGTAAATTATTCCTTATGACAAATTTACTACTACACTTCTATGTATTGTTAGAGTTACGACTTTTGTTAGCAAATAAAGTACGACTAGTAGCGGAAATAAAAGAATAAACCAATGTAATTGTATTAGCATAAACTTGAATGTTATCTTAAATACATACATTTATCATGAACCACCTTGGCGCGTTAAAATTTAAAAATTTTAACGAAATACATCAGATTAAAAAGATTTTTAAAAGCAATCAAAAGACTGTTTCTTATAAATTGTTATATTAATCTTACTTCTTACTACTTTATGTCATGAATGCGAATGTTTAGAGTGGAAGTTTGAATTTGTACATTAACCGGCTATGGGTCTTATTAAATTTGGCATAGATGTAGAGCATAGTCTTTAAGAACAGATATGTTACTTACTTTTTTTAATGTCACGCGAACGGAGTCGCATGCGAAAGTAATTTATTTAGTTAACAATTTGCTATTAACTTTTAATTTAACTAGTAAAATTAAACATTAATTGGATTCAAAATGGGTCCTTGACATAAATAGTAACTTGTCTAATGCTTAAGTAGGTGAGTGGTTGATTCGACTTTGATTTGAGTGTTGTTTATCAATTATTGGATTACGTGATATGTAATTGACCGTAATGTTAAGTACGGTATGAATAAAAAACACTCACACCCATATAAAACCACTTTCGACAAAGTAACTCTATGACTATGAGGACCGTAGATTAATCTTATTGTAATTGTAGACTATACTTTAGTAAAATTTTTAGTAAAATCTATAGTCCCATTAGGATATCGGGATAGCTACGATCGGGCGGGAATAATTCAAACTAATTTTTGACAGCTCACTAGCGCCATCCTGTCAGTCACAAGATCTTTGCCTTTTATGTCTAACGGCAAATACTAAAACGATTCTCAAACAATACAATTCGACAAACGCCAAAAATGTAATGGAATTTGAAGTTTAAGACTAGCTTTATCATTTAAGATCTTGTTAATAATCAGCCGTAACTAGGTTTTATTACTTTTTGACAGAACTTTCCGCGATAGCAGCGCCACTCTTATCAACTCAGATATCCTCCTTTGACTAAATACTAAACACGAATAATATGTTCATTATTTTATAGCATTAAAATAGAGATTATCTTAATAATAATGTTCATAATCTTGTCCCATTGCTTAACCAAACAGGTATTTCTACTTAAAAATAATTATTCTACTTTACATTAGAAAAAAAGTCTAAATATAGCATATGCCAATGTTTATTTGTTCTGCGCTGATGTGTTCGATATAAATCGAGATTGTGGTTAGATCATGTCACGTTAGATCCGGTTCCCATTACAAATTGTTTGAAGATGTGTGTTTTTAAATTATTTTTACTATGATGTTTGACGACTGAGATGACGGTTGATAGAGTTATATGAAGGACGAAAAAAGCCGGACACTACGGGAATAGGTAAACGGGGAAGATGATGACTTCAATGTATGAATTAAAATTCTTTAATTTTCGTGTTTTAAGAATTGTATGTAATATTCTCGGTAAATAGAGTATTGTTCGAAAATTTTTATAATTGCGAACATTTTGTTCACTTTAGTGTAACATAGTTTTAAAATTATTTTGATCTTGACTTTGCCAAGTACTTTAAGTGGTAACATAAGAAACGAAAAACGTGACGCAAATATTAAACTAACAAGAAACGACTTGTGAAGACTTCGTTTTAGTTTACAAATATTTTGAGTTAACAAATAATGTTGGTGTTATTATTGCTTAATACAACTTATTAACACGTTTCAGTGTGAATATTAAGAAAATGATCACAAATAAAGGGGAATGCAAATATTATTGTAATGGTGATCTCATTATTTTACCCATAACCCACGTCCATCCAACATCAACGACGTACAAATTTTAATGGAATTCAGATTTTAAATGTGCCCTAAAACGCTGATAGAAATTTAAATGTCGTTTCAGTATTGTGCTTTTACTTTTTTATGGGATAAGATAAACGGGGAAATACATTTGTTACATAGCAGTTTCATAGTTTTGTGTCTACATAAGTAAAGAACCATTTACCTCATTTCATTTCAAGGAAATATCTTGTCTGTCGATGTATAGAATTGTGCAATACATTTTATTGAAGGTAATGAAAGTATACAGACTATAATGCACTATTTTATAAACAATACTTAACAGGTCTCAAACAAAAGCACGATATAACCTCCTAATCCCCTAACTATAGTTACATTTCTTAACTTAAATAGACTATTTAGGGAACATATAACAGCGGTAGTGCCCGCTTTAAAATCTTAGCACGAATGGGCCGGCACGCCCGGTGTAATACCACGACCACACAGAAGACAGGCTTAAAATGGAAGCAATTCCGTGTTTCGTCTGATAAGTGTGGTGCCGAAGGCCTAATTTGAGTCCCTTTCTCTTTACCACCCTTTTCATATAAGGAGAGGATGGGAAGGGGAAGTGGATTTGACGGAGGAGGATGTATCTCCTCCTCCGTCAAATCCGGAAGGGGAAATATCCTCTTTATGTGCGTCTCCTTCTCTGTCGGATAAGGGTAGGAAACGCATCTGCAATTGAGGATGTCTATGAGCACCGATCGCCTCGCCATTTTAGCGGATTCAGGTGGCCGCTAGCTCGTTTGCCACATTATATTATAAAAAAAAAGAAACATCAAATTCAAATCATAACTAACAAAGATATGAACCTGTATTACTTGTAACTAATAGACTGAACTGTCGTTTGCACATATTTATTAAAAGCTGTATTAATTGATAGCTCACGCGATAAATCTAAATCGTGACGAAGACAAGTTTCTGCAAGGGACGTAATAGCCTTCTTTGTAAGGGGCAATAAGGAAAATTGTAGAAAACAGACTAATAGTCTGTCTTATACAACCTTTTACGTATATCTTCAGGTAAACATTGCCAATGAGGGATAATAAACTACACTATTTATAAGCACTTATTGTTTTATATGTTACTAGCGTTTTCTAAATGAACCAAACTGAGAATTAAATGCAAGATAAATGATTTCCTTTGTATGTTTGTCGAATCATCAGTTTTCTAGATGCTTTAGCTTAGTACGTATACAGGTGTTACAATTTTTTTTACGTTTTCGGACATCCTGTATATAATTTATCTAAGGTATTTTACATATGATAAAACAGAGCTGACATAAACAATATTTTCAAAATAACAATAATAACGTATTTAAAATTGATACGAAGATAGATGAAATTACATTCACAAATTTTACTGTCAAACTATATCATTTGTTGTCTACGAATTCATTTTGGAATATTTATTATTTTCATTTACTTTTAAGACACCAATGACTAAAGCCTTATAAAGGTACTAACTGTTCCCGTGCGGCTATATCCGCATGAAACTATAAAATCTTTATTTTCTTATTGAAACATGTCAAATTCTGAATTACAAATATACGTATTATAGGTATCATAATAACCTTGTTTCCTCAATGTTGGCAGCTTTTAGTTTATTGTCTCTTTCCCTTGAACAAGTATTTTTTTTATTTACCTTCTAAGTTAATAGCGTGAAAATGTATAGCTTTAAGTGTGTCGTAAGTGTATGGCTCTTTATTAAGGAAAGAACTATTCAAAAATATACTGTGGTTGCTAGGATGTCACGCAACAAAGTAGTGTGTATTTACGCTTTATTATATTAGTATAGATATAGATTTTTTAGAAAGGT